TATCACTTATTTTTGTATTTAAATAATTAATATTTATAATTTATAATTTCGGATTTTGTTATAAGAATTGATATGAAAAAGAATTTCAGTAAAAATGTTAGAAAATATTTGAAGAATTGGAAGAATTGCAGTTTCAATTTTTAGAAATAATTAAATTTCAAAACGTTTTACATTGCAAATATTTTGAAATTTGAATTTCTGGTAGACTAATAAATGACAATACGTATTCAAAATACCTATTTATTAAACAAAATTTAAAAATTGTTAAAGTTTTGAATAATTTTTTCCAAAAATTCTAAAAAGAAAATTAATTTTTGGAAAAAATTGCAGTTATAATTTTTAGGAATAATTAAATTTCAAAAGGTTTAACTTGAAAATTATTTGAAATTCCAATTAAAATAAATAACATGTTTTTAAATATTTGCTTAACAAAAATTATCTAAGTTTTGAATAATTTAATGTAAAAATTCTAAAGAAAATCAGGTTTTTGAAAAATTGTAATTAAAATTTTTTAGAAGAATTTCAAAAAATTTTAAAATTCTAATAATTTGGAAAATAATTAACTTTTACAAAACTTTTGTATTTAAATAATTTAATTATCATATAATTATTCAATTATCATTGAATTATAATAAGAATTTTTCAATTAAAATTATGAAATGTAATTGAATATTAGAAGCGTTGTAAGAGGAATTTTAAGAAATAATTAAAATTTAAAAGGTTTTTAAATTGAAATCTTTTTGTTATTTTAATCGCCTTAAAAGTATAAAATTTAAATGATTGTTAAAAAAATTATTAATATATTATTTTCCTTTAAAAGTTTGAATAATTTAGTTTAATAATTTAATTTAAAGTCTTTTGAATAATTTAATTCAAAAATTCTAAAAAATAATTGACTTTTGGAAAAAATGCAATTTTAATTTTCAGAAATAATTAAATTTCAAAAGTTTTTACATTTAAATTATTGGAAATATCAATTAAAATAAATAACAAGTTTTAAAATTTTTGTCTAATAAAGATTATTGAAGTTTTGAATGATAGTGAAAATTTTAAAGAAAATTATGTTTCTGAAAAGTTGTATTTAAAATGTTTTTGAAGATAATTGAATTCCCGAAAATAATTTAAATAATTGAAACAATTCAAAGTTTTGGCAAATTCCATTGAAATAGATTTTATATTTAAAAGAATTTAATTTTATTACTTTTAAAAACTGTTTTGAATTATAATCGTATTTTTAAAGAATTATATTTTGAAAAATTAATTTTTTTAAAAATAATAAATTTTTATTCAGTTTCATAAAGATAGTTTTTGTAACTAAAAATGGACTTTAAAATTTTTTGCGCGCGTGTAAGTTCTGCTAATTTAAATTAAATAATGAAATATATAATTATAAGATTTAAATAGAACATTTAACTCACCCTGTTTGGCATGACAAGCAAGGATTGTCCTTTTTTGGCTTCTCCAGCTTCTACTTTGCCCATGACGACTGTTCCCATGTCCTTGTATTTATCAACAATGGGCATTATAAATGGTCCATTACTTTTTCGATTGAGCGACGGTAGAGAATCTATAAACGGTATGAAAGGCGGTCCACTGTACCAATTGCATAGACTTTCGGGAATCGAATCCTTTAAACCTATACCAAGTTGACCTGAGACTGGCATAAAGGTTAAATCTTTTGCCGGATTAAATCCTAATTTACGGAGGTAAGGTAATATTTTGTCTCTGCAACAAATAGAATTATATTTATTTTCATCTTCATTATTTTTCTTTCGAAAGAAAATCATTTCTTTCTTTCTTTCAAATGAATTATTCTTCATTCGAAAGAAAATTGTTTCTTTCAAATGAATTATTCTTCATTCGAAAGAGAGCTATTTCTCTCAAATGAATTATTATTTTTTTGAAGTGGAGAATAAAAATAGGAAAATTCAACTGACCTACACTCGTTGTATCTCGCTTCATCCCATTCTACCGTTGGGTCATCCATTTTATTGACTAAAACAACCAAATGTTTAACACCGGCTGTCTTGGCCAACATAGCGTGCTCTCTTGTTTGGCCGCCCCTATCGAAACCAGTTTCAAATTCACCTTTCCGCGCGGAAATCACCAAAACTGCAAGATCCGCTTGCGCCGCTCCACCAATCATGTTTGGTACAAAACTTTTGTGTCCCGGCGCATCCAAAATTGTGAAATGCTTTCTCTCAGTTTCAAAATAAGCTCTACCGACCTCAACAGTCTTTCCCTTTTCCCGCTCCTCTTGATTCGTATCGAGGGCCCAACTTAGATACCAAGTTTCTCTGCTTCTCTCCTTCGCTTCTCTTTCGTATTTTTCCAATGTTCTCTTATCAACCATACCCGTTAGGGCCATTATTTGTCCGCCAATTGTTGATTTTCCAGCGTCTGTAAATTCAAGTTTTTTTGTCAACATTTTCTTTTCTATTTTTGTCTGGTCTTGTCTCGAATAAACCATTTTTTATTCACTTGTTTGATTCATTATCAGTATAAAATATGTTTTTGAAGATAATTTTACAGATAGGGTAATATTGTTGCATAATTATCGGATAAAAGAAAATTTTAGCAAATACAATTTTTTTGAGATAAAGAAATTCGTTTCAAATAATTGGTTAATTTACTGATATTTTATATTTGAAACAAATAATTCGAATCGAATTTCGTTTTCAAAAAATTTTAATTCGAATCGAATTCTATTTGTTCTCAAACAATTATGATTCGAATCGAATGTTATTTGTTTTGAAAACAAATAAAATTCGATTCGAATTATAATTGTTTGAGTAAATAATAATTTGAATCGACTTCCGTTTTCAAATAATTATAATTCTTATCGAATTTTATTTGTTTCCAAACATAATTCGAATCAAATTGTTTTTGTTTTCAAATAAATAATAATTTTAATCGAATAATTATAATTCGTATCGAATTTTGTTTTTAAATAATTATAATTCGAATCGAATTTTATTCAGGGTTGCCACAAAACTTTAATTTTGTTTTTCCCTGACTTTTCCCTGATTTCCAGACAACAGACAATTTTTTAAATTTTTATTAGAAAATTTTTCGAGAATTCAATTACTTACATACAAAAAAAAAATAATTTATTTAATAATTAAATATTTCTTAAAATTGAATTTTTATGAAGAATTTTATTAAAATTTTTAAAAATAATTCAATTCTTTCGGTGAATTTAAAAAAAAAATTTAAGAATAAATGCAATTTTCTATCATCATATTCAAAATTGTATAAAAAAGTAATTGAAATTCTGCGATAAGTTTTGTTATTTATATGGAAATAATTGAATTCTTGCAACGAATTTTATTAAAATTTTTTTTTAAATATTGAATTCCGGAGAAAAATATTATTATTCAGGAAAATAATTAGTTTCTTATGAAGAATTTTATTCAAATTTTTTTTAAATAATTGAATTTCTCAGAATTTTTTAAAACTTTTTAAAAATAATTCAATTCCATCGAGAAATTGCAAATAATTGAAATCTGACAAAGAATTAAAAAAAAATTATTTTTCAAATAATTGAATTCCTGTGAAAATGTTTATTTTTGAAAAGAATTGAATTCTTGGGAAGAATTTTATTAAAATTTCTTAAATAATTGAATTCTTTGGAAAATTCTTACGAACATTTTTGACAATAATTGTATTCCTAGGAAGAATGTTATATTTTACGAAAATAATTTTATTCCACGACCAATTTTATTATAATTTTTCAAATTTATAAAGCATTTTATCAAAATTTTTTTAAATAATTGAATTATCAAGAAAAATTTTATTATTTATAAAAATATTTGATTTCTAGCAAAGAATTTTATTCAAATTTTTTTTAAATAATTGAATTCCCATTAAAAAAAAAGTATTATTTGTGAAAATAATTGAATTCTCAAGAAGAATTGTATATTGAAAATAATTGAATTGTGTGGGAAAAATTTATTAAAATTGCAAGTTTATTAAATAAATCTTGTAAAAAGAATTTTTTCAACATTTTTTTAAATAATACAATTTTTAAAAGAATTTTATTTAAATTTTTCGAAATAATTGAATTTCACAGAACTATTTAAAATTTTTTTCAATCCCATGAATATATTTGAATTCTTTGGAGAAACATCATTAAAAAATTAAAAATTATTGAATTGGTGCAAAGAAATATATAAAAAAATTGGTATGTATTTGAATTCCTGTGAGTTTTTGAAATTTTGCCAAGAATTTTATTAAACAAAAAACACCAAATTTCAGAATATTCTTATAATTTCTAAAAATTTGGCTTTTTTCAGTACTTTTAATAAAAATTCCTGACTTTTGCCTGATTTCCCTGACTTGTGGCAACCCTTTTATTTGTTTTCAAACAATTATAATTCGAATTGAATTTTATTTGTTTCCAAACTTAATTCGAATCAAATTGTTATTGTTTTCAAATAAATAATTAAAAATATTCGACATGAATCTAGTAACAGAATTAAAAACACTTTTACAATACTGTTATCAACTCTGTTTCTTCTATTTACATTTTCTTGAAAAGTCGAAACTACTTTTTCTACACGGTGTCGAATTAACTGGTAAATTCTGGAAAATTTTTGTTATACTCTTACTCACCCACATGACCAATAAAAACGACATTAACGTGTTCCTTTTTACTTTTCGTGTCTTCCGCCACTTTGACTAATTTTTTCTTTGGGACTTTAACGACCATTTCATCCTCTTCTTCAATATCAGCCTAAAAAAATATTAATAAAGGATTAAATATATTTAATCTTAATAAAAATTAGTTCATTCATTAAATTTATGTCTGAAAAGATTTGATAAAAAATAATAGGACAAAAAATGAAAAAATGTGGAATAATTTATTTCTTTTCAGTAAAATTTGTTCACCTCTTCGTTTTCAGGAGTTAAGAGAGGATCTGCATCAACTGCAGCTTCCTCCCAGGAATCAGCTGGTTGATGTTCAGGACTGGTGTTTAATGTTGGTTCGGTGTTTGTAATTTCTGGAGGCGGTGCTCCTCCTCCAGCTGGTGGTTCCTCCATTCGCAAACTTATCGGATCAGGTGGAACTGCTGGTGCTGTTGTGCCTGAAAATATCAACATGTATTTAATACACGTCTTTCAAAATCTCAAAAGGTAAATATTTACTCTAAAAGAACCGTAATCATTTATTCATCTTAGAGGTCATATTATGTAAGCTGTTTCTATAAAAAAAACCCCAATTTCGGACTTATTTAATATCCTAATTTTTATGTATCAATTGTTAATGTTTTTCTTTTATTATAAATAATTGAATTGAACAACGAATAAAACAAATTATTTCAACATTTCTTAACAATTGATTAAAAAGGTATTATAGTCTAAAAATATTTATAAATGAATATTTAATTTTGAGGACAGACACTAAAGACTAATTTCAGTAAAATTAGCATAATCACTAAATGTTTAAAAAAAAATCCAAATGTAACAGATTGAGGTTAAAAAAAAGCAATTATAGAAAAGTGCCCCACTGATAATTAGAGGGAAAAAAATTCAATACAACAACGAGGTGTAAAATGTACTTTCTTGTAAGAAAGAAAAGAATGTAAAGTAGATGAGAGCACCAGGTGCTAAGTGGGTTAAATGTTACAATCACATTCGTGAATAACATTATCAACATATTAAACATAATGAGATGATTCTGACGTTTGTCAACATTAGTTCAGAAAGGATATTAAAAATCTCCCTTCGAAAAAATAGACAAAAGGGAGAATTTTTAGAAATTTGAAAAGAAAGTATAACCGACTAACCATGATAAGTTTCGGGAGGCATGGAAGTGGCTGCAGTATCAACGGCAGTCATTGCTGCAGCGCTGGGACTATCGCTAAGCGAATTTTGCTGCGGTGTGGAATTAATGCAGAAGGAAGGCACAAATTCCGCTGCGTTTACGTTAAGAGTTGAGAATTTGCTTTCGATGGATTTATCCTGGGCGGCAGTTGTATCTCCGCTATCTGCCTGCTGTTCCCACGAGTCCGGTGCTACGGTGTTCGCCATATTTATCACTGTTTCGGCACACCCAGACAATACTGCCGCACTTTATTTAACAAAAAACACGCGAGAACAATTATAGATTCCCTATAAGTTGACGCTAATTAATGGGAGAGGCTTAAAAAAATAACTATTTATGATATTTTCTCTTATATTGCACACGCGTGTCGCTACTCCGCGTGTAGCCCCCGTGGTCTGTCTATTTCCCTACACCACTTCGCCGGAACTGCAATGATCAACACAACATTTTCTAACTTCCTGTCAAAACATCAAACGTGAAGAAAACAAAGTTTCATTTTTTAAATTTTACAGTTGTATTTAGCCCGCCTTTTTCTTCTTCTCAGGGGAAAATTACCATTTAAACATTGAATTATTTACTTAGTAATATATCTTATTATTTTATTTATAATTTCCCGAAAGGAATTTTATATTTTTACTTTGAGGTTGAGTCCACAATAGACAGCGTTAAGGAGATTGAGCTACTTAAGACCATCGATAATCTACTTAAGACCATTGATATCAATGGTGTTAAGTAGCTCAATCTCCTTAACGCTGTCTATTGTGGACTCAACCTGATATAATTCATATAATTCATATAATTCATATAATTCATTTAATTTTATAAAAAGGTGAAAACCATTTTTAAAAAGCGCGCCATGAAACATTTTCTTTTTTACTCAATTGGCAACACTGATCTTTTCACATTTTGCAATATTCTGACTGGAAAAAAGTTGATTCGCTTCTTCGCTTTTTTAACAATTTTAATATTTTTATTCCTTTGTTTATTTGATAAGTCTAGATTTTAGGTAATTTGATTATGAAATACTTTCTTGCTTGTTTGTAGTAGTTATATATCGTTGTTAATTATAATCGTAAATGTGTGTACTTTTTGCACATTTTTGAGGTTATGTCTGTCGTAAAATTTCGTACGCGCATACCAAGAAGGCGCGCATACGTTAATGATGTCAACAATGAAAAGAATGAAATTAAAATATTTATTTCTTTCTTAATTGTTAATAATTAAATACTATTCAACAGGTGGAAAAATGTCAAGGGAAAATGAAAATATAATGGAAGATGAGGACGAGGATGTTGTTCTTCAGGTAAAATTTTTCATTTATTAATATTTTCTTTACGTTTACATTTTTGTTTTTATAAAATTTTCCCAATTTTGTGATAATTTGCCTTTATTGACATAACTGATTTATAAACGTATATAAGTAATTTATTTGTTATTTAAAATAACAACGATAAATGTTATTTAAACATCTTTTGAACTTTTAAAAAAATGTATTGAAAATTGAATAAACAGTTTCAAAATTTTTAATAAATCGAAGAATATCGCGAATTTTTTTTTTACAATAAATAATGACATTATTCTAATTGATTTTCGAATAATTAATTTATTATTAATTGTAATTTGCGTTTACATTAATTGCGTAATTAGGGCAGCGAATTACATACAATTTTAACGAACATGGGATTAAATGATTTTGAAAGTGTACCAATACAGAGAACTGAACATTTTAATACTGAAGAGACTGCTAATGGCCTTTTTAATAAGGTAAATTAAAATTTATTAATGACAGTTAAGTATTTATTAAAGTAAATGTTTTGTGACATTAATTTACTATATTAATTTTTAATTCATTTTTAATTAAGTTATAATTAAAAATGAAAATAAATACATTAATTTTGTTCTTTCATTATTTTTCTCAATCATTTTTTTTAGGTGAACTTTTCAATCAATCAAAAAATCTTCTCTTTTTGTAATTCTGTTTTTTGTACAAGACAGGTAATGACATTTTTAACATTTTTATTTTTATCGATTTACTGACTGACAATTTTTGTAATAATTGATTAAAAAGTTACAGGACAATGAATTTTTAGATGAACAATTGAAAATTATTTTGAGGCTGGATTGTCTTCTAGATGATCACACGTCCAAAATACAATCTTTTGTTGTTGATAAAAAGCAATGCGTTTTTAAGTGAGTTTATTTCGAAACTATACTTTAAGACAAATTTTTAATTTCTTGCAAAATATTGAAATTAATAATTTTACAAAATTTTTTGCAACATCAGGAAAGCAGTGCATTGGTTGCCATTAATGAGTTCATCGGCAATGATTTTACACTGGGGATTGTTTAGAAAATACAAAAGTGTTTTAAATATAATTTTGGCTTCGTCCATTTGCACTTTAACTTTACATACAAAATATTTACGATGGAAAGCTACTAAAAATCTAAAGTGCCTTATAAATTTACAAAATGATTTTTATCATTCATGTAAAAATTGTCTGAGAATATTGAGATATTCGTTTAGAATGAAATCGGATTCTCGAAAAACTGGTCAGAAATTTGTGTAAGTTTTTTTTTTGATATTTTTTCCGTAATTAAATTTTTTCAATTTCTTTATTTTTTTGTTGGTGATAATTTATGTTTGATATTTTTTTTCAGAGAATTGGAGAAATCAAAACATGTGTATCTTCTGCCATTGACGGAAATTTTAATTTCCTCTTTGGAAAATGTTTTACTACTTTTTCATCAAGCTTCGAAATGTATTTTTCAACTTTTGCCAAATTCGAACAGTAATGACGATTTAATTACAGTCTTCGAACATGATTCCTTTTTCATGAGGGGAGAAGTTACGTATCGAACGTTAAAGGTAATTTAAAGAAAATTATTAAAATTCAATTTTAATGCATAATAATCTTCTTAAAAAAATAATGAGATTAATTTTTCTCTATAGCCTTTCAAATAATTTATTTCTAAAATTTTTTTGCAGAATCATTATTATATGTATCTTCTCGTCCAATCGGAAATGTTACAACTTTTGGCAATTGCGTATAATCGAGAAACGTGGCAAAATTTCGGAGGATGTCCAGAAATAAAATTAAGTCACATTATAAATAATTTACTACTGAATTTAAAAAAATATAATTCCAAACTTTTAAAAGTATTAAATGAATATTCTACCAAGAAATTCGAACCACAACACAGAGAATATAGGTAAGGGAACTTTATTTGTTATTGTAACGTTTTATCGAACAGTACATTTCATTTTTCATTTATTCACTTTCAGCGGTTCGAAAGTCTCAAAATGGCAAGATTTATACGTTCATTTAGATTTAACAGCTTTCAAATTACAAACAGCCTATAAAGTACTACTCTCGACATTGGAAGAAATCGATTCACGTTCGAATGAAAATTCTAGTGACGATTTTTCTGAAATTATAATGGAGAATTTAAATGAAGTCTACAAACAAATTGACACTGCCAGAAGTTTCACGGAATTCAGCAGTTTACTTGTTGCTAAAGTACAACATGAACAATCTAAAGGGCAAATCGTTCTCAAAAAGGACATTATTTCTCATAGTGAAAAATTAGAATTACCAATTGTTTTGGACACGGAACCGGAAATTGTCGATGAAGTTTTTGAGGAGTACATCAAAGAAGAATATTTAAAACCACTTTACGAGGATGGCGACGAATCCATTATGCAAAATTATAAATTTGATAAATTATTGGCAAAGAATTTTATGAGTGAATTGAAAGATGCATTATTGGAGAAGCATAAAACAATGTCTGAAAGAGAATCAAGAGCTCTGCAGAGAATGTATAAGAATGTTACTCAGGAAATAACGTCGAAACATGAAAATAGTGTAAATGATAATATTCTTCCACCAACATCACCTCCTTTACCTCCGAAATCTTCTGATAGGGAAGAGAAAAAGACAATGTATTCATTTCCAAATTATGAAAAAACAGAAGAAGAAAGTATTGAAAATAATTTAGTGGAGATGAATAAGAGGGAAAATTTACCTGATGAAGAAATATTTTCACTGAGATTAAAAAAACAGACTTTTTACGAAGATAAAGAGAAAGAAGATGATGAAAAAATTGATGTGGAGAGATTTTCAATAATTCAATGTAAACAGAATTTTCCATTTTTTCTCAAGACAGCCGAAGAAACATTTATTGGCAGTGGAGAAAATTCTGAGGAGGAATTAATTGTGAGCGACGTAGAATCTGACGAGAGATGAAATCTATTTTAATAAAAGAATAATATTTATTTTACATATTTTGTTTTTATTTCAAATTCCTATTATTTTTTATTAATTGTATTTTTTTATAATAAATAATAATTTTAAATTATAAATATAATTTTCATTGTTGCATCGATTTTTTAATTTACAAAATATGAAAATATTAAATTTATTTTATTTTTAATTTAATTATTATAATAAAATTAATAATAATTTCAAATTATAAATATAATTTGCATTGTTGCATCGGTTTTTTAATTTACAAAATATGAAAATATTTAATTTACATATATTTTCTTATTTTTAATTTAACATGAAAATATGTTTAAATAATTTCAAATAAATTTTGTTTTCGCGCTCTTGAAGCGCCCCCAGATGGAAAAACAAGCGAACTACTTGCTTTATCAACGTTGTGAACTGTGCCTGACTGTCAAACTGTGAAATGTTGTCGTGATATAAAAAATATAATTTTATTTATATTAAAAGAGTAAAAGTGTGTAATTTTCAAAGTTTTTTATAAGAAAGAAAATTATAAAAATGCCATTGCCCGCTGCATTGGCTGCCCGATTGGCCAAAAGGGGCATTATTACAAATTCCGATAAGCCTGGTGAGTATAACCTTAAAATTTATATTTTTGTTTGTTATTTTCATTGTTTTTGTGTTACTTTTTATATATTTTTTAATCAAAATTTTATAATTTTCGTTCAAATGGAAATAATTTAATTTCCGAAATTGTCTAGTGCTGATTATTAGGTTATGTTATATTTTTTAAAGGAAAAAAACCAAAATCTTAGAAGTTTTTATTAATTCGAAAAAATGTTATTCAAAATTTTGTTTACAATTTTTAGAGACTGCAAGAAAAGAGCCAAAAAAGAAGGTTCATGAAGAAGTAATTGCTGAAGATTACGATAGTACGAAAGAAGATATCAGTCAAATTGATCTTTCCCAACAATTTATGGTACGTAATTTGTATATTATGATATAATTTATATTTAATGTTAACTATAATATTCTTCGTATTTTTATTATGTTCATTATGACATAATTATGTTAATTATAACATAATTATGTTAATTATGACATAATTATATTAATTATTATATATTTATTAAAATATATATCGAGATAGTTGCAAATCTTTACGTGTTTCAATTTTCAGGGTCATCCTGGTTGTCCAAACAAGTATAATATTTATCACGAGTGTAGTAGAAAGTGTAAAGAAATTTGGGGAGCTGGACATATTCAACCATCGGAGGATTATTTAAAAAAACAAATGCGTATGCTGCAAAAATATTCTTTACCGGAAACTTGGAAGGCAGTTTATGATCCAGGAACGTAAGTACATTTTCTAATTTAATAATTAACTTATTTTAATTTAATTAAGTTAAGTTAATTAATAAATTATTAATTTTAAGTTAAATAAAACGTTTAATATTAATTAAAAAGTTGAGAGAATTGCTTAATATTAATTCTTAAACTGTAAATTTTATTCTACTCGATATTATCGTAATATTAAAATTTTATTTCTTACTATTTGGAAAACTTTGTCGAAAAAGGAACAGACTTTTAATATTTCTTTAATTAATTTAATTTAAAATAATGAAAATAATTTAAATTACATTTTTAGAGGGCAGCATTATTACTGGGATTGGTCATCAGATTTGGTATCTTGGCTGCCTCCAGGACATCCAAAATGTCAAATTTCTCAACCTGCTTCTCAGTTAAGAGAAGAATTGCATCTAAAAGCTGCTGATCAAGATGACAATATGTCTAGTGACGAAAGTGCTAGTGATCAAGAGCCAATGGACGTAAGAAATTTTGAATATTTTCATACGATTTTTGAAAGAAAGAAATTGTTTTCAATTTTTGATATTCTAAAATTTTAAATATTCTAAATATTCTGATGTTCTATTTTATTATTTAACTTATTTTTGATTATTAGGTGGACGAAGAAGTGAGAAAAGATCGCAAGCAAGAATCACGAGACAAGCGTGAAAGTCGAAAACCCCCGAGGAAAGAGTCGAAAGATAAAAAGGATCGTTCACTAGATCCTATGGATCCTGCAGCTTACAGTGATATTCCAAGGTACGATTCGTTTCTCGATGAATATTGAAATTTTTATTATATATTTTTTATTTCTTTTTGTTAATAGAAGAAGAAAGGAAACAAAAGAGAAATAAGAAAGAATACAAAACAGAAATAAGAATGTAAAATAAAAATTTAAATGTAATGTTATAAAAAATAATTGTCTAATTTCTTTATATTCTTATTGTCTAGGGGAAAGTGGTCCGATGGATTGGCCCGTCATAATGAGGCGAAAACAGGCGCAGATACAACAGCATCCGGACCTTTATATCAAATGAGGCCGTATCCAAGTCCTGGCGCAGTTTTACGTTCAAATAAAACTAGTAAACCCGATTCTGAAACCTCTAGTAAACCCAAGGTTTCATTCCCTGAAAAACCAGAATAATTTTTTATTTCCGAAGGTATGAATTTAGTTATTAAATTTAATTTACATTATTTTAAAATAAAAATAAACATCATATTGCCAAAATGTTTAATTATTTCCTTATAGCAATAATTACCAGTTTTCTTATTTTCGTTTCTCCAATTTTTTTCGGTGTTTTGTTTATTTTTACGCCCCAAAATTTATTTAGAGGTAAAAGACCTTTTTCAGCAACAATAAATTTTTTGATATATTTTAAAAGGCAAATAAATATTTTGTAAAAATGTATCTTGAACGATATTAATTTTTTACAATCGTGAAAATTGATAAATTAAAATTTATCTATAATTAAATTATATATGAATATTAATATAAATAATAATCTATATTAATAATCGTTGTATTCCGGTAAGAATTTTATTATTTATGAAATAATTCAATTCTAGCGAAGAATTTTGTTACAATTTTTGAAAAATTCTAATTAAATTCTTTTTGAAGAATTTCTTTGAATTTTTTTTTAAATAATGGAGATACTTTAATAATTTTAATTAAAATTTTTTAAAATAATTCAATTTTATGAACAATTTCTTTCAAGTTTTTAAAATAATCGTGTTTTATTATTAATTGAAATTGAACATTTAATTATTTAATTTTATTAACATTTTAGAAAATAATTAAATTCTTTTAAAAAATTTGATACCTACTTAAGAAAAATATTGAATTCTTTCGCGAAATCTTTTTTGTAAACAATTGGATTTTTGCAATGAATTTATTTCGAAGAATTTATTAAAATTTTAGAAAATAATTGGATTTTTGCAAAAATTTTTTTTATTAAAAAAGAAATTTAATTTTTTCATGAAATTTTATTAAAAATAATTTAATTTTTGCAAAGAATTTTACTGTTTGTAAAGATAATTGAATTCTTACGAAGAATGTTATTATCTATGAAAATAATTTTATTTATATTTGTATTATATTTGACAATTTATTAAATGTTAATTATAAATGAATATAAATAAATAATATTTAATAAACATTAAAGTGAAATTTATTATTTTATTAACTTATTTCAATAAAAAAATAATAATTTTATATTTATATTGAATTTAATTATTTATTTTATATTTATTTATATTTATGTTATAATTTTATTATTTATATTATTTTTATTAACATTTTAATAATATGTATTTAAAATATTTGCTATTTATAAGAATTTTGAAAATTCGCGCGCATTTTCCGACGACCGCAGCGCACTCTTGAACTTTTCCTGTGCAACTGATGTGCCATAACCTCCAATTCCTCATCGTTTTCCTAATCGTTTTTTCATGAACCACGGGAAACGGTGCTGTGATTAATTACTTTTTACAAAGTTTTCTGCAAATTGTGCACGCATTTAAAATGCAGAAGAACATTTTCATCAAGTTACAAGCATTTTAAGTATAACATTTCGTTTATTACGATAAACTGAAGTAAGAAGCGTGCTTCGTTTATTTCGGTCATTTTATAGTGTGTTGCGATTTTGGTCAAAAAAGAAAAGAAAAAAAATTCTGGGATGCGACAAACTTTCTAGGATCACGGTGTGATTACATTAATTTTCCCCTAAAGAACATTAAGATAGAAAGAGGATTATGAAATATTCGTATAACATTTTTAAAAGAAATTGGTACGTAAAAAAAATGTTTTTTATACGCTTTTATTTTGCACACACATATTTTTTACCCCCAAACTAAGCGTGGCTTTTATGATATTATACGCTTTGGCTTTTGTGTGCGTGCAATCGTGTATGTACACGGTGCCATGTGACTATAATAAACTGATATTTCAATTCGGTTTACTTTTCTGGCAGTTATCTTTAAATATTCTAATCAATTCCCAGTGTTTTAACATGTATACTTTTTCAATTTGCCCGCTTTATGTAAATGAAAAATGATTGCTGAAAAAGATGTCGAAGATGGTAAAAACTTTTGTTTACGTCTATAATGCATATCATTGACTTTAGTTTTTTACTTTGTTGATAATAATTGTATTTATTAACTATTATTATTAAGAAATTATGTATACTTTGTTAATAAGTCTTATTCAGTTTTAATGTGAAAAGTGTTTGAAAGCAAAACATGAAAAGTTCTTTAAAGCCGGTGTTGATTAAAAAACGAAATTTTATTTCATTTCTGATGAGAAATTTATAATATTTTGATATTTTACATTTGGCTATTTTGGAAATTTGGTATTTTGTTATGAATTTGTTTATGTTTGAAGTATTTTTCACCCCTTTGGAATACAATTATTCCAAATTATTATTATTTTAATATTATTATTATTATTAATTATTATTATTAATTAGGTTATTGCGTATTAAAAAATAATAACTTTATATTTAGTACAATTGGATTTTTTAAATATAAATAAAATATCCTTATGAATATTTAATGTGTCAATAAAATTTTTTAATTTTTTTGTTGTCATTTTTGCTATAATTAGATAGTTACAGATTGGTTGTGTTAAATAATGGCAAATTTTGTGCGCATTCAATAGTTTAAAAATATCTTTTGATCTTGAATTTTTGAACGTTAGAATAATTTTGTTTTTCATATGTATTTATTAGAAAAAATTGAATATATTTTTCTATCTGATATTTTAATTGTAATTTTTCATAAATATTTGCTATGAATAAAAAAAGAGATTTTATATTAAATATTCTAAACTATAGAGGAATATTCTTTTGTTAAAATTCATTGGTTATTTTGATCACTGTCGTAACGCTTTTTAAATCTCTCTTTATGGTGAATGGCGACAAAGAATTGAATTCATCATGCGTTACTTCTGCCTTTATTCAAATGACTTAACAAAAATTAATTTGCCTTTTTTGAATGGTATATTCAATTTTACGCAAAATTGTTTTACGATATAGTTCTTTTTTCCCCTTTTCATAAAAAGCCTTTTTTTAATAATTAAATTAATTTTTATGATTTCAGGAACTTCATTCAAAGTGCAATTTGAGTTTAAAACTTGATGAAAAAACAAGAGAGAAAATAAAAAAGGAAAAAGTTAGTGTCGAAGAGAATTTTTGAAATATTTATAAAACATGGAATATTTTATAAGAAAAATTGCAGAGTGCACAACTTAAAGAAACGAAATTAACAAAAATGACCATTGAAGTGTTCAAATCGAATTAATTCTCAGAATGTGTGTATACAGTTTTTGCAAGTTTGTGCATTCTTTTTATACTCGTACTTGATACACATTTTTTATTAATCACGTTTTTCATAAACAAATAACTGTTGGAATTTTATAATAGTAACAGTTTAGAAATTCACTATTAGTGAATGAAAGAAGAGAAATTCTATTGGGAATATAGACTGTCTTTAATCATTGACTTCCATAATCTTTTAAATAATCAGTAAAACAAAAAAGCGAAGATTTTTTAATGATAATGAGTCTTGTCGAAAGGTGCCAAAATAATATGAAATACTGTTCATCAGCAAATTGACAACGAAATTACAAGGATAAAGAAGAAGAAGAAGTCAATGTTGCAGTCGACAGATGAAAGACTAACTGTGATTAGAGAGAAGAAATGCACAAATTTTATACTTTTATGTAACTCGTGTAATGTTCCTGATGATCATTCATTACTCGAAGTGAATACAAAGGCCTATATAAAATATATTTTTTCGAGTGGAATTTCCTATGAACTCTGTCTATGAAGAACTAGTTGCACATTGAAGATCTTTCACTTCTACTCAATAAGAGTTCAAATTACACGTATTTTCTACGACTCAACTACTGTATATAAAGAAAAATTTTTACCCGGTATGTTTGAATATTTTATCTTTTAAATTACAACACGAAAATAGAATTTTTCATGAACAAGAAAGAATTATATAATATTTTACAAATAATTTTATAAAAAGAAAGTCCAAATTGGTGTAAAGTTTCGTTTGTTTAAATTGTATTTTCTTATTGTTAAATTTGTTGTAAAATTTACAATTTGAAATTCGAATCGAATGTTACAATTTTAATATTTAAAATTGCAATTAATTTGTTTATTAACTATTGAAGTATTGTAAAAATTTATAGTTTGAATTAAATGCAAATACTTTAATATTTAAAATTTAAACCAATTTCTAATTTTAAAAAGGCGAAAACTTAATCTAAATTCAAAATATCGTTTTTATAATAAGGTTTCAATTTCTAAAACAGCGGAATTTAGGTTTTATAATTGAAATAAATTATTGCTAATTAAAAAGATTATTCTTTTAGAGAGAACATTTTTATTTAACCGAATATTTGTATTTTCAGTTTCAAGAGGTACATTTGAGCTAATCCTAATGCTGAAAGGAAGCCTAGCATCGTACCTAGACACCCGTATCGAAGAAGAGTCGTCATACATAACACTCAGCAATGGACCTAGCGGTATGTAGATGTTCAAGAAAAAAATATAAAAAACATTTAAATTATTTAATTATTTGATTTTTAAATTTTGAATTTTAGAATTTTAAATACCGTAGAAATAAATTATGGTAAATTTATTTTTTCTAATTTTTTTTAATAAAAATAAGTAATAGTTATTCATATTTCATAGTTAATTATTATGAATAATAATTCTTTTTCTTTATCCATGTGAATAATTAGAAGACAATTTATTAATATGCAATAGATTTTATTGCATATTAATTATAATATCATGTATTTTTTATAATTATGATTATTACACGAAAGTGAAATTAAATTCGTATTTTATTTTTATTAATTAAAATTTGTAATATTTAATAATAATAATAATAATAATAAAAAATTTATGAATTTAACATTTTAACAGATGTTAAACCATTTAATCAATAATAAATTTATATATTATTATTATTATTATTATTATTATTATTATTATTATTATTATTATTTTAATGTTATTCATAATAATAAATATTTAGCTCTTTTTATTACAAAATGAGCTATCTACAATTTTTAAACTTTCAAATGAACGAAATATTTTAAAATAAAAGTATTTTCATAAATTACTAATTGCAATACAAATTAAAAACTTAAATATTACTTTTAGGAATTTTATATAATTAAAAAAAAATAATTTTTTGATAGTGACGCAAAAT